AACTCAATGGTTAGCGCGGGAAAAAATCCAGATCTTGTTCGATTCACGAAGAAAAAATTAGATATCCACCAGATTCGAAAGCTGACAAGCCAGAAAATTTTGGAGATTACCATAAATTTTGTCAAAATACATTTTCAAAGCGAAAAAGAACCCTATATAATTATGGAAATCGCGCGCTCCATGTGAATCGCGCCGCGCATTATGCGCACCGAGCTCGGAACTCAATTTCAATTTCCTCGTCGCTGTGCAGTTAAAAGATGTTTTCACACAATTAGTACAGTACTGTAATGCCCAAAATTTATGCTAGAGTGACTATTGATAGTCTACGGGAAAAACTCTGCGTTGCGAAAAAATCGCGTGCGTGGAGCCTGTTTCTCACCCTGTTACGGCACACTGGGAAGGTCTTTTGAAAGACAAAACTCTCATCTGTTGGCGTGATTATAGCGGAAAATAAAAGCTAAGTTGTCGCACAAATCACTACTTTTTGATATGAAACATCGGTGCACTAGAAGAAAGGTAGTTTTAGCCGTTAAACGCTTTTTTTTTGTTTCTTGGTTGAGGCTTTTTTTGCATCCTTGAGAAGTTTATAGGTTTCTCGAATTACTTCAATGCCTCACGACTGATTCCACACTCTCATGTGCTTCTGCAGCACTTACATGTTAAGAAAACCTGGAGTGCGAAACACAGTCTTTCGTTCATTCTGAGAGTCTTCTGTTCGAATGTTTTTCTTAAACCATTTTCGGTATGGGCACTACGAGTGGTTATTAAAAGATCAATTGAAACCCTTCTAAGAGCCCCTGGCAAACAGAGAAGGAAAAAAAAAATGTTCAGTACAATCTTCTATGCTTCTACGACGCATCAAGGAGGGCTTTGAGAAACCAAATACATCGTTGATATCGCCGTTTATCATGGTATCGCGTAACTGGAGAAACTTCGTTGGACATCTCCTATTTAAGTAAGAAACTAAGGATACATTTGTGCATCCTATGGAAAATATTCTCCCTCCAAAAGGTCAACAGAATTTCAATAGTTATTCAACATAAACCCAGCTGATTCTAATTTTGTTTGTAAGAAGGTAACCATAAAGCCTTGGAAGAGATAAAAGAAGACCACGTTTTGCATTCCTGGGGTTAGGCTGCCTAAGCTGAGGTTGATGTGGTAGGTTTCTCCGGCGACATAGACTAGAAGTAAAACCATAAGCGCACAGGACGGTAAAACATAATTTCTCCAATAGAATGTCAACAAAAACCTATGAAGTTCTTTGAAATGGAGAATTTTCAAATAAACAGCGAAAATTGCGTGCTTTTGATGCCAATTTACCGCTGAGCACAGCGCTCTGATAGGCGAGAAAGCTGAGAGGGAGTTTTTCTCCGACTACTACAGCGCATATAGAAACATTTATATCATCAAATACACTACCTCAACCAATGAGGTTCAACCTTTTGCTTAACATTAAACGTCTACAGAGAAAGCTCTCCCAGGCAGAAAAAAAATGCGCTGAGTGTAAAGTAAATTTTATTTTCGCAGCTACAGCACTTTCCAAAGGCAATTTTGGAAATGAAGCGCATCACTATAAGAGTCGAACTTCCAGTGATTAGATGACCACCAAGACTCTAAGTAAGTAGAAAATGAATTGCTCTCTTTAAAATGGTTACAGATAACGGAAAAACACCGAAGACTTCGATTGTAGTAAAAGAAATGACATAGATAAAGAGATAAAGAAATAAAAAAAGTTAAAGGAAAAAACTTAGGCAACTCACCAAGAGTGTTCATCACCACAGACAGCGATGATTCGCTGCTGCTCGGTCGAAGACTTCTTAAGCTGCGACTTTTTCTCATATATGTCCTCAGTCGTCAGTTTCTCTCCAGACTTTGACGCTTGATCGACACGTGTGAAGACAGTTTTGGCTTCTTCGGCTAAAGTCATTGATATGTCCTCTGTAAAAAAGAACAATTGCGTGCAGACAAGTTCTTGTTTCAAAGTGAATCGTACTGAAATGGCTAACACAGGCGTACCACTTCCTTCTTTCTTCTCTTTAGGCGACATTTCTTAAGCAGTAAACTTCTTCTCTGCTGATCCTTTTTAGGTGCCGCCTTCTTCTTAGGGAAACCCGAGTTGCCCCCATCAATGATTCACATTTTCTTCGGTTCTGAAGTGCCACCTCCTTACGCCATGTGCTAGGCTGATCAACCATTGCTAAAGGTAAATAAATACATATCTGTCCAATACAGTGACTTGGGATCGCCTAATCATATAAGATAATTGCTGCTAAACTCACAGATATGCCTGTACCCAAAATGACGATCTCGAAAATATGAAGCGATTGGTAAGCTCGAGGTGCTGCATTGAACCAACAGCATGTGATAGGACGTTGTTGTTGACTGCCGGAGAAAGTGTCCACGCGTCGCGATGAGCATCACAGAAACTAATAACAATAACTATAACAATAAAAATCACTTGGCCACTGTGCCCCCGATATGCTCAAGCAGTGATTTTTTGGCATATATCCCTAATCTCGTTTGGAGAACAGTCTATGAGCATCCTTGCCGTACTTACGTGGCATCAAAGTTTCAGCTATCTCCAGTATCCCTAATCCAGTTTACTTTGGAAAGACATCCTTAGACTGTTTGTTCGCTCATTTGTGTCCATGTCACAAAATTACTGAACTTGAACTTCTGCTCAGGCTTCAATACGTTCATTTGTGAATCGGTAATACTTGTGACTTAACTGTAGTCGTTGTAATTGACTGTTCTTTGAACTTAGGCGAAGGCGCTTTGAAGAACGCTGCGCCAGAATTGAACCCCTCAAACTTGTCTAATTGATGGTGATCATCGCTTCGCCTTTTTTCTCCTACATCTCCGATTAACAGATCTGCTAAATAAATGGAAAAAAGAAAAAGAATAGGAAAGTCCTAGACTCTAAATTTTATTCCAAAAAAGTTCCACTAAAAGAAGTAATAGACAATTTTGAGAAAAATAGGAAGCTATGGAAATGAAGCTAATAATGCTTACTATTTTAAAATAAAAAAACTATGAAAAGCGCAATGAAAGGTGCAAATGGAGAGTGACGTTTGATTTCGCAACTGCTTTGTCAGTATAGCTCTCACGGTGCATTATTCCAGGGAAGAGGTTCACGGACCAACCAAGTGTACCAAGGTACGGAGGAGCTAGGCACTTCCACTTGAAATTGCTTTGAGAATGCTGAGGTAAAAGTCGCCCAGCATTAAGAATTACTTACACTATCTGAAAAGAATTTGTGGCAGTAAAGAAAACGTCACAAAGAGGTACAACGATTATTCGTAGTATGCCAAGCTAGCAAAAATTGAGACGATCTAGCCTGGGTCCTCAGTAAAATCTTACTGATTAGTTGATAGGATCTCATGGGATTTTGGCTTGTACATCATCCCTGTGCGGCCGGTATACTTCGTCAAATCCCTACTCGTGCATTTTGACTTTAGCTCTAACATTATGCCCGAATCAACTAGTAAGAATTCCGGACAAGAGATTTGCCACTAAAAAAAGCTTTTTGGAATCAACATCATGATGAGGCGAAATCATCCTTACATGGTCAAGTCAAGATCCAAGAATGACCTAAGTGCCCGTCTGCGGAATCAGGCCATGAGACAAGCGGTGGGAGGCCTACAAAATCACGTAATACGCAGAACATCACTGGAGCCGGATTTGTTGAACACGTCAACGACATGTCATTGAGATTATTTCTCACTCTGCACCTATAATGCAAGAAAACTCTCCACAATTCTGAGCTTCACGCATCTCTTAAAGTACAGGCTGCGAAAATTCCACCTCATTGTCGTACAAGAAACGAAAATAAGGAAGATCGAATGCCAACTGAACTATGGGACGCTCGTGATTTGCGGAGAAAAGGTCCCGCCATGAAATGTTGGTGAGGCAGGCTTCATCGTTCACCCGTCCATCACCCATCTTGTCAACTCGCCAGGCCATCCTTCGACTTCAAGTAACGCGCAATAGGAAAACTTTTATCATCAGTTGTTACATACCGATTGATACAGTTGATGAACGTGAACTAATGCGTGTTATTATCACCTGGAGGAAGTTATTCGTAGTGATAAGTCCCACTACTAATTCATTGTGAGAGACTTCAATGTCAGGGTAAGGAAGGTCAGCGAGGGAGAATAAACAATTGAAAACTGGATTACAAACAAGGAATGAGAATGGAAAACGTATTGCAGGATCATCCTACAACTGAGTGAATGCCAGCAGTAGTATGATTGCTTATGAAAGAGCGCTTTTCCCACACATACTAGTGTTTTATATGCACAAAGAACGTGGAAAAGTGCGTAGAAGATTATAAATTCTCAAAAAATAAGGAAACTTAAGAATATTTTCATAAAAAAGAAAGTACTTCTAAAAATAAGGAGAACCGTGCACCGCCGCTTGCGATATGAACTGCCGTCATTAAAGGGTGCAAGGATGGCGTCGGATAGATTAGCGCTAGAGCGCGCTTTTTTCCAAACTAGTTGCACTCGATTGATCAACTCACTCAACCGGCACAATAGGAAAAAGAGAAAACAATTGAAAAGTTAAATACACTGATAAAGTAAAGTGAGGCTAACCATAGACTTGATTATATAATAAAAAATATCAAAATCGAAAAGTGTACGTCGCGACATCTTTTGTGCAACTTATTGCTACTGACTGATTGAAAATAATAGTATGATTCCATGTGAACAAATAATTTTCTTCAACACACAAGTGTTTTAAATGCATGAAGAACACGGAAGAGTGTTCAGATGACCAGGGAAGATCAAAACTAAGAGAAACTTGAGGATGTTCCAGTGCTACAATGAAAAAACAATGAGAAAGTTGTAATACGAGAAAAGACCAAAATAAAGAGTTTAGGTCGCAACATCACTTGTAGCTTAGAAGATCATCGAGCATCGAAAGAACAAAAAAAAGCTAAGATAATTTTCATGAACGAAGAAAATAATGCCTAAGCGAATTGAGTGATGAGCAAAATATGACCTCAGACGGTAGTCGAACCCGCGTTTGATGCATACCGGGGATGCATGCTACCACTACACCACCGAGGCACATTTGCGCCACCACTCAATCTTTAACACGCTGGCAACGACGTTGAAATCCTGCTCGTCGCGCCGCGGCGCGGCACCGTGCCGCCACGTCGCGGCAGCAGCAATGACGTTGTGGTAGTTTTCTGATTAAATATGAATAATTATCGTTACTAATGGAAATTTCGTTAACAGTTAATGATCAAATGTGCAAGAAGAGACATCCATGAAACTTCTTGTGGTAGGAACAATGGCTATATCTCCTCCTAAAGCTTTGAATCTTGAGAGAAAAGGCAGATATATAGCATAAAGTGATCTTTCGAACTGTAACTGAACATTGATATGTTATCCTACATAAAAAGGATTTAGGATACAGCTCTCGGCGTCGATCAGTCCCTGAGGGATGCGCCATGCATTCGACTTTAATTTTTAACTTCGTTTGAGGTGACTGAATGCATATGTGGCCTTTACAACGAATCGCGGTGGTCTCCCGCTGAAGCGAGTCAGTGCTGCTTATCCTCCCAGACAAGTCTGACACCTGCCTGGTACCAAATTACCGATCCCGAAAGGATGTATGGCACGGTGAGCCATGAGCGCGAGATCTAACCATTGACCTCGTGTGCGACGCAGAGCAGCTCTAACCACTGCGCTACATGAGCTCATCCTATATATATTCATTCATATTTTGGTCGTGCTCATCTTTTATTAACTGCATCAACAACAACATAATAGTATATAGTACAATATATTATTACATAATAATATACTATATTTAGATAATAAATAATAATAGAATATATAATATAATGTATATTATTACAACATGATAAATCACAATAACTGCTTTTCAACGTGAATAATTTTTGTATACATGGGAATTTCCTTAAAATATAAAACTTTTATCGAAGTATCTCCTCTTATATTTTATCATTTCATCAGAGTAATATTCCCTCAGTACTTCAGATTATCAAACAAACCATTACATTTTCACTGCAAAGCATGATAATAGAGACTCCGCCACGTCGCGCTGCCGCGCCTCCCCGCCGCACACGCGGTGTGCGACAAGGGCCGAAATGGGCTCTTGTCGTTGCCAACGTGTCAACATCTTTATGCTAGCTGTCAGCCACCAACCCTTAAACCCTGTTTGATAGGGTATGCGATTTCGCTTTATAAGCCCAGCTGAGCCGACAGCCACTGTTAGATATAATACTCACAATTTCTAGCATTCTTACTATTTTCTTTGCGGTTTTATGATATTTCATATATGTCCAAGCGAATTGAGTGGTGAGCAAACATACGATCTTGGGCGGAAGTCGACCCTGCGTTTTATCCATAGGAATGCGTGCTACTACTACACCACTGCGAGTCACATAAACACAAAGAAAATGGAATAGTGTAAAGAAGAAGATGGAACACCAAAAGAGTTTGAAAAACCTGCAACTTCCTTCACAAATAAAGAAAGTCAATAAAAATAACTAGAGCCGTGAGCCGCTGTTTGCGATTTGAATTGGCGTCCCTTGAGGAGATTAGGGATCGAAGCCCAGTATATTGTAACTAGAGCTTACTCTCTTCAAAGTCATCACAGTTATTTGATATTGTTCAATCTACAATTAATACTATTGATCAGTAAGCTAACTATCGTAATGGAGACCTTGTTGACAGCTGTTTGAAGAGAGTTTCACCGTTGCTTAAACTGCCCATCAGCCTTTGATTCCGAAAAGGTAAAACGAAGGTCTCTCTATCCAAGGCTGACATTCTATTAAACCCGTTACGCTTCCGTTTCAGCCTCTCATTTTTTATATCTTATGCCGAACACAAGACTCATTATACAGTTTTAGCGCATGCGTCGCAGTGGTTAGAGGTGTTCTGCGTCGCCCATGAGGTCCATGGTTCGATCTCGCGCTCATGGCTCACGACGCGATGAGGTTTTGGCAACACTAACTCCATACAGAAGGAGGTTCGCGGGTTATAGTAAGGACCAAATAAGCATTCAATCACCTCAAACGAAGTTCAAAATTAAAGACAAATACATAGATCATCCCTAAAAAATTGATCATCGCCGAGTGCTTTATCTTTCAGATTACACAATCAACGGGACCAGCCAACTTTTCGACAGTTTCGCGCTTTTCAGAACCTGGAGAGAACGGGTTGTCTCTCGTTCGTATCTTCCCTCTATATCAAATAGAACGCCGATATATATCCATACATTGCTTGATTTATTTGAACCTCATTGATGAAATTTGGTTTGTAATGTCGGCATTCATTGTTTGGCAAAGATTCCAAATTCCGTTTCCAAAATCTCATCAATTGTTGTGTCGCAAGTGTCTTCATATTCAGCCATCAAAACTGATTCCGATTTAAGTGAATGATGAGAGAGGTTAGAAGATGAGTAAATGTAACTCGATATACCTAAAAGAACTGAGCGGTGAGCAAAAATACGACCTCATACGAAGGGTTGGTGGCTGACAGCTAACATAGAGATGTTGAAGAATGTGTGGTGGAGCTAATGTACCTCGATGTTGCAGTGGTAGCGCGCGTCCTCGATATGGATGGAACGCGGGATCGACTCTACCTTTCAGCATTGTTTTATTACATTTTCCAAAATTAACTGAGTAACGAAAAAACCTTTCTTTTCTAAGAAGATGATCATACATGAGAGTGCATATACACACACAATAATACCGCGATATTACAAGGTGATCACGAGGTAGGAAACAATTCTTCTCATGTGACAATGATTTACGATCTCAGAAAAGATGTTCAAAAGTGACGATGAGTTTCATATGGTAATTATCAATCGTGTGGACCTACAATATGACAAAGTTGCATAACAATGAGCCCGCTTCAAGAATGAAGAAGCAATAGTATAGGAGCAGCAAGGTGTAGCCTCGTATGACGAAACTGATTTCCGAAGAGATTGACCTGGATATGATGACGAATTACTCAGGTGTAAGTCAAGAAATCGAAAAATCTGTCTAAACAGACAAGAGAATAGAAGAATATGAACGAGCCACAACAAGACTAACGTATAGACGCGAAGACATTGATATCAGCGCCGAGTCATCGCTTTCGAATTTGGTGAGTACTGCCGTCACTGAGCGTGGATCACGACGCCATGCAGACGAAGCTCGAAGTCTTTACCATACGAGCCCCGTGAAGGTTACACCGAGGCAGCATCCAATGCATCTGTCGTAATTGAGGGTCATGGGTTTTTATAATACATAAGGGGAGTGATTACATATGGGACTGGATGCTTTAGCTTGATGGCGGGTCGTGCATGGGTGTATACAAAGCTCCGTGCGTGGTGGATGTTCTAAACTCACGACGGTATAAAACGTATTTGGGCCACTGCTCAACACTCAGCGCCAACGATTTAGTAACGTTAAGAACAATGATGTGCAAATGATCACTATAGGTATATGTCGATGTAGAGAATGTCAGCCCCATGGCACTGTCTTCGTGATATGACCAGGAAGAGCTCAACTTAGACGTCCGCACTATGGATCCTTAACGGCCAATGATATTGCAACGACAGTCGCCAACAGAAACGGTGAAAAATAGCACCCTGCCATTTTGCTATGAACAACAACCTTATGGTGAGATCAACTCAGTTTTAGGCTATGTTCGAACGACCCCTCTCCTAAAACTTAAGGGTTAGCGTGGGAAAAAATTTAGATCTAGTTTGATTCACGAAGAAAAATTGATATGCACAAGGTTTGGGAGTTGATAAGCTCAAAAATTTTGGAGAGTACCATATATTTTGTCAAAATACATTTTCAAAGCGGAAAGAAACCCTACATGATCATGGAAATCGCGCGCCCCATGTGAATTATGCGCAAATCTTTTCACACAATTAGTACACTATTGTAATGCCTGTGATTTATGCTATCGAGTGACTGTTGATAGTCTACGGGAGAAACTCTGCATTGCGAAAAGTTTGCGTGCTTGGAACCTAAATTTCTCTCTGTTACGGTACACTGGGAAGGTTTTTCAAAAAACAAAGCCCTTCTTCTGTAAGCGTAATTACAGAAGGAAAAAAGGCTAAGTTGTCGAACAGATCCTACTATTTGATATGAAACATCACTGCACTAGAGTAAAGGCAGTTTGGCCGTTTTTCTTGTTTAAGGAGTTTTCTCCATTCTTAAAAAGCTTCTGGGTTTCTCGAAACACTTTGATGCTTCACGGTTGATCTCATACTCTCATGTGCTTCTGGAGCATATGCGGCTTTTAAGTGTAAAGGAAACTAGGAGTGTAGAACACAGCCTTTCATTCACTCTGAGAGTACTCTGTTTGTACATTTTTGAAACGATTTTCGGTGTGGGCACTACGAGTGACTACTAAAAAATCAGTTAAAACCTTTTCAAGAGCAACTGGCGAACAAAGAAGAAAAACGAATGTTAAGTGCAATCTTTTTAGCTTTAACGGTGCATCAAGGAGATCTTTAGTTAACTAAATACATCGTTGATATCGCAGTTTCTCACGGCATCGGATGACTGAGAAAACTTAATGGACATTTCCTATTCGAGTAAAAAGCTAAGGATACATTCGTGCATTCCATACTAAACATTACTCCCTCAAAAGGTCAACCCTTATTTCAATAGTTATTTAACAGCATAAATCCAGCTTATTCTCGGTTTATTTTTTAGAAGGCAACCATAAAGCCCTGAAAGAGATAAAAGAAGACCATGTTTCGCATTCTTGGTGTTAGGCTGTCTAGGCTTAGGTGCTTGTAATGGGCTTCTCCGGCGACATAGACTGGAAGTAAAACCGCTAGCGCATGGGCCGGTAGAACATGATTTCTTAAATAATATGTTAATATGAAAAACTTATGAGAATCTTTGAAACGAAGAAGTTTCAAATAAACAGCAAAAATTGCGCCCTTTTGATGCCAATTTGAGATCGCTGCGCGTAGCGCTATAATGGGCGCCGAAGTTGAAGGGAATTCTTTTCTGACTGCTACAACGCACTATGAAAACATTTATATCACCAAATACAATATCTCAAATAGCGAGGCTCAACCTTTT